GATTCTCCCGCTGGGCGTGGTGTCTCATGCCTGTAATCCCAGCACTTTGGGAGGCCGAGCCGGGTAGATCACCTGAGGTCAGGAGTTTGAGACCAGCCTGACCAATATGGTGAAACCCCATTTCTACTAAAATTACAAAACTTAATTGGGCATGGTGGCGTGCGTCTGTAATCCCAGCTACTCAGGAGGCTGAGGCAGGAAAATCTCTTGAACCTGGGAGGCAGAGGTTGCAGTGAGCTGAGATTGCACCACTGCGCTCCAGCCTGGGAGACAGGGCTAGACTCCATCTCAAAAAAAAAAAAAAAGATTCTTCCACCGAGGCCTCCCAAAATGTTGGGATTACTGGCGTGAGCCACCGCTGAGCCAAGTCAGAGCACTCTGATGGCTGCCCTGACTCTGCTGTGCACACGGTAACTGCGCCCACCTTGCCTTTGATTATTAACTTTAGTCACTTGGTCCCTGCTACCTTGAGATCTAATTATCCCCATCAGAGTCAGGCTTTCCGATTCTTGCTCCATCACCCAGGCTGGAGCAGCTCACTGCAACCTCACCTCCCACGTTCAAGCAATTCTCCTGCCTCAGCCTCCTGAGTAGACAGGAATTACAGGCACCTGCCATCACGCCTGGCTAATTTTTTTTTTGTCTTTTTAGTAGGGACAGGGTTTCATCTTTTTGGCCAGGCTGGTCTCGAACTCCCGACCTCAGGTGATCCGCCTGCCTCAGCCTCCTAAAGTGCAGGGATTACAAGCATGAGCCACCATGCCCGACCTAATCTTTGTATTTTTAAAAGAGCCAGGGTTTCACCACATTGGCCAGGCTGGTCTTGAACTCGTGACCTCACATGGTCCACCCAGCTCAGCCTCCCAAAGTCCTGGTGTAAGTTCTGACCTAGGAGGAGAGCGACTGTGACACAGCGATGCGTGGACACAGATACGGTTGATGGAGACCAGCTCGTCACACAATCCCAGCCCGACGAAAGAGGGGATACAGTAAGCAACTGTATCCTCAGCGGACCTCAGAGCCCGACGCAAGTGCAGCCTCCTCGTCACAGACGCCAACCTACACAGACACGCACCGCCTCTACCAAGGCACGTGTGACAGACACCACCGCTCAGCGACACTCACATACCGAATTCAGCAACAGGACACGCGGGCGGTGGCTCCAGCCACACCACCGTCCCTCCACCACCGCCCTCGACCACCACGTTCCAAGTCCGCAGGCCCAGAGGACACACGCCGACCGCAGCCCCCGCGCCCCGCCCGCTTGTTCCCTGGGTCCTCACCCCCACGACCCAGGTTGTCCCCAGACCAGGGGCCCTTTCTGCTCAGCTATGCCCACCTACCTTACAGCAGGTCCAGCGGCGTTCCTCCTCCCAGGAAGTCGGGGAGGTATTTTTACTTACAATTAACCTCCCACCCAACTTCCCTTCTCTCCAGGCACATCCAATTGGTTTAATTGGAGAGGATTATGTTAAGGAGAGGCATTTCCAGGTTCTGGGGAAAGGGGGAGGAGGGGAAGAGGGGAGCTATTCCCTCCCCGACTTCTCAAGTGTCCCAGCTGCTGGGACCCCTCCCCTCACCAGGCAGGGAACACAATAAGCAACTCTCTCTCCTCTCACTGGACCTCAAAGCCTTGGCCTGCCCCTGCCTCCCCCCACCCCCGCCTCACCCCCCCACTTGCCTTCAGGGGAAGGTGATAGTTTGAAGCTGTCTACCCATCACTCATCCCACTTGAGTCCCGGGGAGTTTTGGGAGTGATCAACTCTCCTCATAGTCAGAAAAACAGTATCAGGCTGGGTGCGGTGGCTCACCCCTGTAATCCCAGCATCTTGGGAAGCCAAGGGAGGCAGATGGCTTGAACCCAGGAGTTCAAGACCAGCCTGGGAAACATGGTGAAAAGCCATCTCTACCAACAAATATAAACAATTAGCCAGGCATGGTGGCGTGTGCCTACAGTCTCAGCTGCTGGAGAGACTGAGGAAGGACAATTGCCGGAGTGCCGGAGTTGGAGGCTGCAGTGAGCCGTGATTACAGAGTGAGACCCTATCTCAAAAACATTAAAAATCAGGCCAGCTGTGGTGGCTCACCCCTGTAATCTCAGCACTTTGTGAGGACTAGGTGGGCAGATCACTTGAGGTCAGGAGTTCAAGACCAGCCTGGCCAACATGGTGAAACCCTGTCTCTACTAAAAAGTACAAAAATTAGCCAGGTGTAAGTAATAATGTGCACCTGTTGTCCCAGCTACTTGGGAGGCTGAGGTATGGGAATTGTTTGAACCTGGGAGGCAGAGGTTGTGAGCTGAAATTGGGCCCCTGCGCTCCAGCCTGGGTGACGGCGTAAGACTGTCTAAAAAAAAAAAAAAAAAAAAGTTAATTAAAAATCAGAATCTCAGGAAATTCTATTTTAAGAAAAAGAGGGCTGGGCACAGTGGCTCACGCCTGTAATCCCAGCACTTTGGGAGGCCGAGGTGGGCAGATCACCTGAGGTCGGGAATTCAAGACCAGCCTGGCCAGGATGATGAAAACCCCCGTCTTCACTAAAAATACAAAAAAATTAGCTGGTCTCTGTGGTGGGCCCTTGTAATCCCAGCTACTCAGGAGACTGAAGCAGGAGAATTGCTTGAACCCGAGAGGCGCAGGTTGCAGTGAGCCAAGATCGTGCCACTGCACTCCATCCTGGGCAACAGAGCAAGACTCCGTCTCAAAAAAACGAGGCTGGAAGTGCAATGGTTAGTGTCTGGGCCCTGGAGCCAGGCTGTCTGGATTCAAATGGAGTCCAGCCCTACAATCTCCAGCTGTGTGACCTTGGACGAGCCACTTCACCTCTCTGGTCCTATTTCCTCATCTGGGAAATGGGGACTGTGATGGCACCCACCTCCCAGGGCTGCATAGGGTTTAACAGATTCTCAGGTACCGTCCTGGAACAGAGCCGGGACCCAGCCCTCACTGGAGGGCCCCATAAGGTCATAAAAGTGGCAGCCCATGCTCTCATCCTGTGCCTGTTCTTTTTGTGACACTCATCCCCTTTTTTTTTTGAGACAGAGTCTTGCTCTTGTCACCCAGGCTGGAGTGCAGTGGTGCGATCTCAGCTCACTGCAAACTCCACCTCTGTTTCAAGCGATTCTCCTGCCTCAGCCTCCCAAGAAGCTGGGATTACAGGTGGGCGTCACCACACCTGGCTAATTTTTGTATTTTTAGTAGAGGTGGGGTCTCACCATGTTGCCCAGACTGATCTCAAACTCCTGACCTCAAGTGATCTGCCTGCCTCGGCCTCCCAAAGTGCTGGGATTACAGGCGTGAGCCACTGCGCCCGGCCTGTCCTGGGATTTTGTTCATTCACTCGTCCACTCAGCAGATATTTTCTTTTTCGAGATGGAGTCTCACTCTGTTGCCCAGACTGGAGTGCAGTGGCTTCATCTCAGCTCACTGCAGCCTCCATCACCTCCTGGGTTCAAGCAATTCTCCTGCCTCAGCCTCCTGAGTAGCTGGGATTACAGGTGTGTGCCACCATGCCCTTTTAATTTTTTTGTATTTTAGTAGAGACAGGATTTCACTGTGTTGGCCAGGCTGGTCTCGAACTCCTGACGTCAAGTGATCTGCCCACCTCAGCCTCCCAAAGTGCTGGGATTAAAGCCGTGAGCCACCGCGCCTGGCCGCGTGTGGCGTATCTTCTGTGCATCCTTTATGTCTGTGTATGTTTCCGAGTGTCCATGTGCATATTTGCATGTGGGTCTGCTTATAGCGACATGTGTGTCTCTGTGCGAATCTCTCCACGTGGGCCCACCCAAAAGGGACTCAGGGGGTCCAGGAACACATTTTTCATGGCAGTCTTCAAAAACTCACACATGTGCCCCTTGAGCCTTGATAACAGAGCAGCAGTGAACATGGCTGGGGGTGCCAAAGAGACTCCGAGGTCCAAGGATGGATCCGAGAGGGCGACGAAGGGGGTGCATGGATGGCGGAGGGGCTGAGGGGCGCTAGGGAGAGGGGCCTAGAGGGCAGTGAGATGAGATGAAGCAGACGGAGTCCGAGGGAGAGAGCGAGCTCACCTGGACTCTGAAGAAGGGAGAGGGAGGCCCTGAAGATGTGGGTTTCCAGTAGGGAAGGGGACAGAGAAATACAAGGAGCGAACAAGATAGAGACAGAGAACAAGAGGGAGAGAGACAGAAACAGGCAGGGGGACAGTCCACACTCGCCTTGGTGGTCTCTCTCTCTCTCTGGAGTGTGTGTGGGGGGGTCAGAGGTCTGGAAAGCTGAGAACCCCAAGAGACTCACATTGGTCTCTGAGCCTGTTTTCCTGGTTAGCTTCTGCCTGTGATGGCTGCTTGCAGGCGGGGCACGGTTCCCCACGTGTCCCTCGAGATACCTCCACCATCAGCGCAATCCTAGAAGACAGGCACGGCTGCTCTCCCCATTGTCCAGACGTGGAAACCGGGGCCCAGACAGGTGAAGTCATAACCTGAGGTGCCACAGCTGTCACCTTCCAGAGGTGAGATTCGAACCTATGTCCATCCAGCAGCCTTGGAAGTGAGGGTGTCCATGCCTAACCTGCTCATTTCACACAGGACAGAGGACGCGGAGAGCCACAGCTGGCAAAGTGACGCACCCATGGCCCTGAGACTGCATTCTCCCTGGCAACCACATTTCTTGCAGTGATTTTGCAGCTCCCTGTAGTTAAGAGGTGGCGTCTAGGCCAGGTATGGTGGCTCACGGCTGTAATCCCAGCACTCTGGGAGGCTCCCGAGTAGCTGAAACTGCAGGCGTGCACCACCACACCCAATTTGTTTGCTTTTGTACAGATGGGGTCACACTATGTTGCCCAGGCTGGTATTGAACTCCTGGCCTTAAGTGATCCACCCACCTTGGCCTCCCAAATGGTTGGGATTGCAGGCGTGAGCCATCACGCTTGCACCCGGCCAATTAGTATTCTTACTCATGATTCATGAGCTTCAAACTGGTAAGAATTTGAAATCTTGGAATAGACACAAACGCTCCAATTGGTGGCTTTGTGTTTTTAAGACTTTTATCATTAAAAAAAAAAGAAGAAATTAGAGAGGGGAGGCGGGGGGACAGGAGGGTGAAGGAATCTCTCCAAAATGTCGGATCCGGGCAACCCTCCTTCCCTGGCTGCCCAGCCACCCCTGTCCCTTCTCTGTCCTGGCGGTGAGGCCCCAGCTGCCACCTTCCAGGGACCAAGGCCCAGGAGTCCAGCGTGGGTCCCAGGCAGAGGTGAAGGCAGAAGTGGGGCTCAGGGCCTGCAGGCCTTGTCGGTGTCCTTGAGAGCCCCTCGGGTGGGCAGTCAGGCCCCCATGTCCCAGCAGGGCCCTGGGGAGGTAGGCGTTGAGTGGAGGAGCCTTTGGAGGTGGGGTCCTGAAGCCGGAGGACCAGGTGGGAACCAGAGCCAGTGTGAGGCTGGTGGTCACAGCGGAGGCTGGATCTGTGGCGAGGGGAGGAGAGGCCAAGTCAGGAGCGGGCAGAGGGCCTGGCCCCACCCCAGCCCGCTGTGCAGCCCTCATCAGCGCCCACGTGAGGGGGACACAGAGTGGCTGGCAGGGAATGATGCAGGAATGTGGGAGGGCCACAGAGAGAAAAGACGCAGTGATGAGAAAGAGGGAGACAGAGAATCAGAACAGAGGCGAGGGTGGGAGAGAGACCCAGAGACAGAGAGACAGAGAACAACAAGGACAGAGACGGGCAGAGTGGGACAGAGAGACCTGGAGGGGTCAGAGAGGACGACGTGGGGAGAGAGAGAAGCAGTCATACAGAAACAGACCAAATGGAGAGATGGAGAGAGAGGAGGGTGGGCGCAGTGGCTCACACCTGTAACCACAGCACCTTGGGAGGCAGAGACGGGGATCGCTTGAGCCCAGGGGTTCAAGACCAGCCTGGGGAACAAAGCAAGACCCCCGTGTCTACAGAAACAAAATAAACATTAGCCACGTATGATGGCGCACACTAGTGGTCTTAGCTACTTGGGAGGCTGAGGCCAGAGGACTGCTTAACTGGGGAGGTGGAGGCTACAGTGAGCCATGATTGCACACTGCACTCCAGCCTGGATGACAGGGAGAGATCCTCTCTCTAAAAACAGAAAGACAAGGGAGAAGACAGCAGTGGAGAGACAGACAGAAGCGGAGAAAAGAGACCAGGGGGTAGCCAGGCCATGGGTGAGAAGCCCCCTCCATGATGACTGAGCCCAGAGATCCCTGACACTCTCCCAGACCATCCCCACACACGCTTGAGCATGCCAGAGCTGAGTCACCCACTGCCCTACCCGGCCTGGACACGCCTGCCTGTCTCTTCTTCCCAGGCTCGGCCCCCAGCACCCGCCTCCACACCCAGGCCCTGGGCAGGCCTCCGCTCTCATCCCCGGGGCCTTTCTGCTGACCCTGAATTCATTACCCACCTGCCCGGCTGCCTGCCTCAACCCAGCCCACGGAGAACTTCCTCCTTGTGTGCAGGGGGCCGGGGATGTCTCATAGCCCTGAGATTCCCAAGCTCTCCTGGCCTTGGCACATGCTATTCCCTCTACAGACGCTCCTCTCCTGCCTCGCTCCTCCCATTCTCCTGGTCTCACCTCTGAAGTCCTCTCCTCCAGGCAGCCCTCCCTGAATCCTCCAGTCTGGGTCAGATGCCCCCTCTTCCAGGAAGCCCTCTCTGAACACCTCCCCCAATCCCAGGTCCAACGCCCGCCCCTGTGAGCTCCTCCGCTTCCTGGGCTTCCCCATCCCAGTGCTGCCCATTCTGGGTCATCACCATCTGCAGATGGGTCTGTCGCCTTCACTGGACTTCATGCCCCAGGAGGGCAGGGTTGGGGCTGTCATGGTCACTGTTGTGTCCCCAACATCACCCAGCACAGGGCTGGGCACAGAGGGGCTCAGGGGATAGATGGACACTAAACTAAGGAGTCAGGACTTTGTCCAGACGGCACTAGGGAGCCACAAATGGTTTAATCCAGAGAGAGTCAAACTCTGATCTGTGCTTTGGAAACGCCAGGCTGCCTCCCCACCCTGGGCCTTTGCACATGCTGTTCTCTCTGCTTTTGTAAGCAGGGTAGACCTGTGCAAGTGACCTCTTCTCTCCAAACCTCAGTTTTCTCATCTGTGAAATGAAAATTAGGCAATAGTCTTTTCCTTTCGGAGTTGTGGTAAAGACTAAATGAGAAGATGCTCTAAAGTGCTGCCATCATACCAGGCCACAGGAGACTCATGGCCTGGGAGAGTCAAATGATGCCCCCCTCCTAACACTATCCCCTACTCTGCCCAGTGGACTCCTATTCATCCTTCAGAGCCCCATTCAGAGGCCACTTCCTCCAGGAAGTCTTCCCTGATACCCCATTCCCTCCTATGGGAAAACTGTTTTATTGTTTGAGCGGTTGCACTGGATTGTCTCTGGGGTTGCCAACTTCCCCACAAGACCAGAATCTTCTCAAGATCCAGACCCTACCTGAGGCATGTCAGGAGGGAATGAAGGCTCAATTTATGTTTGGAGATGTATCATAGATGGACGGGTGTAGGGATGGATGGATTGATGGATGATGGGTGGTGGGTGGTGGGTGGGTGGATATATGAATAATGGGATGTGTGAGTGGACGGGTGAGTGCGCTGATGGGTAGATGGGGGGATGCCTGGGTAGGGGGGTGGGTGAATGCACAGATAAATGGGGAGGTGTGTGGATGGTTGGTCAGTGTGGAGGTAGATGGATGAGTGGGCTGGTGAGAGAATAGATGGATGGGGCGAGTGGGCGAACGTGTGGCCGGATAGGTAGTGAATGGGTAGGGGAGAGGACTAGGTTTGGATGGATGCATTGTGGGTGGACGAGTAATGGATGGACAACGACATGGACAGATGGGTGAGTGGGTAGATGGATGAATACATGGAGGAGAGAAATGGGGTTGGAGGGGTGGAGGGATGGAGGAAACATCTTCCCATCAAGCCTCAGCAAACCCGCAGTGCAGGGACCCAGGCTGACCCTGCTCTGGGTGTGCCCACTCTTGGAGTCCTGAGGTCTTATGGAGGTTTGAGAGCTGCACAGTCCCCAGCCCTCGGACACTCACGCCTCTATAAATAATGCCAGTCTCCTTCCAAGTTCAAACTCATCCCCACTGGTCCTGGAAGACAAAAAAGGAACGTCAGTGGGTCCTTCAGAGACACCCCAAATGCCTGGAAGTCTCCCCCACCTCTTCCTTCACCAGGCGATCCCTCTACCAGGATAGACTGAGTCATCTTTTAAGAAGGTACTGGCCCTTTTAAGAAAAAATGGAGGCCGGGCGCGGTGGCTCACGCCTGTAATCCCAGCACTTTGGGAGGCCGAGGCAGGTGGATCACGAGGTCAAGAGATCGAGACCATCCTGGTCAACATGGTGAAACCCCGTCTCTACTAAAAATACAAAAAATTAGCTGGGCATGGTGGCGCGTGCCTGTAATCCCAGCTACTCAGGAGGCTGAGGCAGGGGAATTGCCTGAACCCAGGAGGCGGAGGTCGCGGTGAGCCAAGATCGCGCCATTGCACTCCAGCCTGGGTAGCAAGAGTGAAACTCCGTCTCAAAAAATAAAAAAGAAAAAGAAAAAAAAAAAAAAGAAAAAATGGAGCCTTGCGAGGTGGTGGGCTTGAAGTCTGGAAGAAGTGAGGTTGTAAGGAAAAGGTAGGAGACCAGGAAATCTGCCTAGGAAATCCCCGCCAGGCAGGTGACACACTGTATTCCGCTTGAATTGAATCTCAGGTGGGGGCGTCTTTGTTTCAGAGGTGAGGCCAGCGGTGGAGGGGCGGGGCTTGGTGAAGGGCGGGGCCTAGCTAAGGGGCGGGGCTTACCCGGAGGCCTGACGGCCACATGTGGCTGCGTCTCGGTGTAGCCCCCGATGGGCTGGCCCTCTGGGCTGAAGGCCGCACCCTGCCCTGCGAAGGGGGTTGAGAGGTGCAGGCTAAGCCCCAGGAAGCCCGGGGCCCAGCTTGGACGCCCTCCTAAGAACCCCAGGCTCTCCGTCCTCGCCTTCCCCTGTACCTGTGCGGTTGGATTGATCGATCATCGGTTGCACGATGCGTCTCCGGGCGTTAATGAACCTGAGAGGCGGTCAAGGAAACGGAGTTGGGTGAAAAGAGGGAGTGGGAGAGGGGCCGAGACAAACACAGAGCAGGCCGGGCGGAAAGGACCGCGGTGGGGAGGCAGGGCTGGGCGAGCAGGGGCAGAGGCTCCGTGGGGCTCGGGGCCTCCGTCAGCACCGCGGACAGCGCCCCGGTTCCCACCCCTGGCCGGCCCACGGACCCTCCTGGGCCACTCACCAGTTGTTGACTTGCAGGATGGTGAGCCCCGTGTCCTGTGCCAGCTGTTTCTTCTGCTCCTCCGACGGGTACGGGTGCTGCGGCCACCAGCAAGAGTCACTCTGCCTGCCTGGCCGGCCGCGGTCTGAACCCCAAAGTCTGACCCGCCGGGGTCCCAGGGATGGGGCGCCCAGGGGAGCTGGTGCGTCTGAGCGTCTCTGCGCTGCCCAGGATGGAGGCCAAGCGAGCCCCAGACTTGGGGGGCAATTACATGCCTGTGAGCACTCCACCCCCCCCCCCCCCCCCCCACCCCCGCCGCCTCTTCCAGCTATTAGAGGTTAATTGGCCAGCTCTGATTAGAGAGACCATGTTGGGGGATGGGACTCCTGTGGCGTGGGGGAGGGGGCTTCACTGGCATGGGGGAGGGAAGCAAAGCCCAGACCCTCTCTTTCTAAATCTGTCAAGAGTCTCTGTGTGGGCCTCTCCCCATA